AGCAAGTCGTGGATGGGCATTCTTATTATGCTTATCAGTTGTACTTGATACAATGGCTACCAATGTTAATATGAGTATCAGTGTGTATTACCAAGAAAAAGTGCTAATATGAGCCTTGATAGTTACTATTGAATATGTTGCTATTAACATATTGGAAAGGTGGGGTACGCCCGCATCGACGTGAATCGCACCGGTAACGGTCAACAGCCAGAAAGTGCAGCGACGCAGACGGCAGCACCATGCACAGCAAAGAAATGCGCGGACGTCCACTGTGCATTTGCACAAAGATGTAGCCGGTCTATGAAGGTGACACCAGGCCAAACGCGAAGCACGTTCGGAATCAGCGCGATTCCCTTACCCTGGCTTTGTACAGTCCCCTGTTGTGGTGGCCAGGCCTGACCCCATTGTCTTGAGAGAATCCATGTTGGTGTCCTGCTCAAGGTCTTTTTTGTCTCGAATTTCCTAGCCTTCGAACTTTCAGGCCCAAACTCTACGTTTTTCTCTGGCTCCTGATGCCTGCAAGTGCTGGGATCAATCTGTGAATCTTTCAAGTCTCAAACTCGCCAAGTTTGCGGACAATCGAACTCAGATCCTCGCTTGCCTGTGCTATCGTCGGTGTCGAAAGGGAAAGGGTTTAGGGGTTAGGGTTTAGGGCTGAGGGTTTAGGGTTTAGAGGACCCCGGCTTACAAGTGGTTGTGGACATCTTGCTGTTGGCTCCGTGTGGGGCAGGTCATGACATGCAGGTCATGATGCCTGAAGCTAGCTGCTTAAAGGGGGGGGGGGGGGGGGGCGGGGGCGCTTCAAGTACTTTACACAAAGACATATGTGTGCGTGGGTGTTTTGTTTGACTTGCTTCTTCACGATTCGGTGATCCTGTGAGCTTTAAAGTGCGAGTCTAGCTTTGAAGCAGAAGATAGCACCAGCTGTTCCCTCGCGTTCTTCGAGTTAACGGAAACAGGAACCGTCAGCAGGCGTCACCCTACCATGCGGCCCGGCCACCCCTTCCCGAAGCACAGCACACAAAAACCGAAACCTTGCAAACCTTGAACAATCTACAAACCTAACACCCTGAACCCTATATACTACATACATACCCTAAACCCTACAAACCCTGTACTTGCCCTAAACCCTAAAATCACCCTAAGCCTTGTAAAACCCACAAGCCCTGCTCCCACACCAGGTGTCGCCCACATTGTCTCCCTCGTCAACGAAGCTCCAGAGCCCGGCGCGTCATGAGCACGACGTCCCTTCGGAGCCGGAGGTCTGGGTCATAGAGGGTTTGGGGTGGGTTTAGCGTTTAGGGTTTAGGGTTTAGGGTTTAGGGTTTAGGGTTTAGGGTTTAGGGTTTAGGGCTAGGCTGCAGGGTCGGTTTCCGGGCTAGGGTTAGGGTGCGAAGGCCTTGGGACAAGCAGTGTGTGGGGCCTGAATGATTAGACTAGGGGTTGGAGGGTACTGAAAAATTCTATAGGAACCATAAGGAGAATTTCCTAGTAGTTATTCCGACCCCATGTGAGGCTTTCCGAGCTCTTATTGGCAAAGGGCTAAACTCAGGATTGAGGCTTCTTTGCTTCTTTGGGGTAGCGGCCTCATCTACGGGTCTTCTTGTATTCTCCCCCTAGCTGCCCGAACTACCCGCACAAAGGGAAGGGTGTCCCAAACCCATTCCCCAAAAGCCCACACCCGATACGCTTGATTTTCGCTTTCTGAGAGGTGCCGCTGTCGCCCTACCCCAACAAGCGTGGCTTGTCAGCTATGGGAGGGATGTGGGTTTGGGGTTGCTAAGCCGCTAAACGCTTTGAAGTCACTCCGAAGCCACAGCAAGAGTAGAACTGCTCTTTGTGGCCGCTTGTACCTCAAAGAGATATTGCTTCCGACCACCCTAACCCCTAAACCCTAAACCCTAAACCCTAAACCCTAAACCCTAAACCCTAAACCCTAAACCCTAAACCCTAAACCCTCAGCTCAGATGGGCCTTTCGTGACACAAGCCCAACAAGTGGTGGTGGCTCTCTGAGTTGCGCAGCCGAAGACAGACGTCTTTCCTGCGACATGGACTGGGGGGTGATGCGCAGGCTTAGGGCTTAGGGTTTAGGGTTTAGGGTTTAGGGTTTAGGTTTAGGGTTTAGGGTTTAGGGTTTAGGGTTTAGGGTTTAGGGTTTAGTGGCTTCAACCGAAGTTCAAGTGTAGGTTGATGACAGATATGACAGCTCGTGGGGGTGGGCGTAGATTGAAACGCCCACGTTCGGATGTAGGCTCTGCCACCAACCGGGGGTGAGGAAGCCTAGAACTAGAGCCCCTTTCTAGTACACTAACCCCTAAACCCTAAACCGTAACCCCTAAACCCTAAACCCTAAACCCTAAACCCTAAACCCTAAACCCTAAACCCTAAACCCTAAACCCTAAACCCTAAACCCTAAACCCTAAACACACATGATCCCCTTGCAGGAAAGATTGCTGTCGACCCTGGCGAGCTCAAAAAAAGCCTGCCCTTAGATCTGTAGGCCACCCTGTTGTCCTGTATCAGGACTTGGGTGTCCTTAAATCATGCCCGTGGCTTCGGGTCTTTCACCTCCCTCGTCTTCAAGGCTTTTTAGGGTTTAGGGTTTAGGGTTTAGGGTTTAAGGGAATACCAAGCTCTCCCCTTGGCAAGATACTTCGATTGAAAACGAAGACATGACATCTGGCACTTGTACCTAAGACCTGTAGCCCTAAACCCAAAAAGCTAAACCCTAAACCCTGCCTTGATTTGAGATCAGCTACACCATTCAAGCAAAAAGCCGCGTGAAGAACGTGGCCTTGTCTCGACTGCCCCGTAGTCAAAGAGCCAAATGTCTGATGTTCCTTCCTTCCCGAAGCCTCCTGATTCGCCTGATGGGCATGGGAGGTCGATCCCATAGTTGAGGTTTGCTTGCTAGCTGCCCTTAGCTTGGATTTCAAGGTTATCGGCCGGGCTCTCCTGATGCTCTTGAACAAGAGCTCAATTGCGACGGCTTCTACCACCAAGCCCCGACACCCCTTGGAAAGATACTTCGATTGAGAACGAACTGTCATCTGCGGCACAAGGTATGACATCCGGCACTTGTACCTAAGGCCTGTAGCCCTAAACCCTAAACTCTAAACCCTAAGCCCTAAACCCATGAAACAAATCGACTGCGAGTCCCCTTGATGAAAGGAGCTTCCGAGCAAGCGAGACTGGGTAGGCCCTTATGTTTGCTTGGTAGCTGAATGAGTACACTTTGCACTTTGTGGGAGCACATAGTGGAATCCCCCTGTAAACTGAAAGTGTACACTCGGATTTGTCCTTTCTTCGTGAAATCCCGGGTGAGGAGTGCCTGTGGACTTCACTGTGCGTTGCGATGTAGGGATTGGTTATGGAAGCTAGGAGATGAGAATGAGGAGAGGGGGGGGGGTTTTAGGGTTTAGGGTTTAGGGTTTAGGGTATTAAGGTTTACACTGCTCCCCACCCCCCATCCCTATGTCGCTGTGTCCTTGTCTGGCCTACGAGCACACTGCTTGGCTGCTTGATGTGCATAGGGAGGGCGGGCCACCGGAAGACATGGGAGAGGCGGAAAGAAATCTCCACTTCTGATCCTTCTACTATCCCCCTAAGTCGCATCCGGGCTATCAACGGGCACTGCGAGAGAGGATGTACTGATCAGCACGCTCCCAAATCAGAGGTGAGATGCCCACCGAAGGTTCATAGCCCAGCCTTGCCTGACGTTGCGATGGCTTGGAGACTCCTTGGCGGTAGCAGGTTTTGGGTCTAGGGTTTAGGGTTTCGGGTTTAGGGTTTTGGGAGCCTGCTGCAAAAGGGTTCCATCTGCCAAGAAGCCTCCAAGCAGCAACACCAATTCGTGCACGCCCTGCCACGCACTGCAAGCTACAAGCTACATGCGTACCTCTCAAGGAGGGGAGGGGAATCTGGGGACTCTCTGCTTCGTGACATTTGGTTGAAGTTGTTACTCTAGTACTCTGGCCTTCCTGTCAACTGGCCCAGCTTCGTTTTGAAGAACGTGTGCCTTGGTTTATAAGTGTCCCTTGTGGAACCACGTGCTGGAGCGCGGTGGTGTGTTTTGCCATGGGAATGAATGTACTAAACCCTAAACCCTAAACCCTAAACCCTAAACCCTAAACCCTAAGACCCAGAAGCTTCAAAGATCATCTGCTCCAGCCTCAATCTAGGCTGCGCGCAGTGACACCAGCTTTCAATGGCGTGTTGAGATCGTGATGCCCCGTGTTTCAAGTTTCCAAACTTGACCTGTCTGTGTTGAATAGTTGCAAAAGGTCGCTGCGCGTCCACTGTCTGCAAGTACACTATGGTAGGACTGCATGCGCCACTCTCATGACCAGGACTTGTTTTGCTTCCCCCTGATGCCACTGGACCCGTTCTTCATGGACAGCTGACCCCAAACCCTTTTTCCCTGGAACCCTTAACTCCTTAAACCCTTAAACCCTTAAACCCTAAACCTTCAAACCCTTAAACCCTCAAGCCCTTAAACCCTAAAACAAGACCCTGAGACTCTTACACCCTGACATGTTTGATCGGCCAACTGTTTGACAGGTGCGGCTGGCCAACATCTTCTCAGAGAGCGCAGGCGGATTTGATCAGGGGCACGTCGGTACCTAGAGGACCCTGGATCCTTAATTGTAGTTGTAGTTGGGGTTTTTATGGTTTAGGGTTCAGGGTTCAGGGTTTAGGGTTTAGGGTCTAGGAACGCGGGTTTAGGCTTAATTATCATGCACCGAGGCATGTACAGTAAGCAGGTTGCCAATTGAAGTGCAGAATAACCACCGGCATTTGCTGCTATTTGCCTCAAGGTTTTTGTTTCACATGCAACAACCGAGTACTCTCAATAACCACTCAGTGCTGCTTCATGCTTCGGCACGACTCTACCAAGACAGGCTCAGATGCCACCAACTCCGCACACTGTACACGGACTCAGCCTACCCCTGAACCACCAAACTCGCCCAGTTCAGGGCCTTAAGGCCCTTTTTTCGGCATGTCCGGTGCCTTGGAAGCCCCCCTGCTGCCATCGGCACGGGATGACCGCGTGGCGCGGCTGAGTGGGGCCCGTGCCCCTGCGGCCCAGCCGGCGCAGCCCTTGCTTGCAGAGCCTCCAGAGGGGGGCGATGCGGAGGCAAGGAGGGCCCAGGTATCTTTGTCATAGTTGGGTAACATTTTGCATTTTTAAGTGGGTACTTCAACCCGATAAGAAAAGAAATACTAGATTTTTCATATCACCCAAACAGTGAACTAGGTCTCCTGCGCCGGGTTCTTGCTGGTTGCCTGCCTGGTTGCAATTACCATGATCTGCCGGGAGGCGATCCAGGGTGCCTATATCCCCCTTGAGAATTGTTTTTTATTTATTTTATATGAAACCCAAGAGGATATTCAGAAATATTCTTTTATTTTAAGGTTCCAAGGGGAGCAAAGGTGCGACGAAGAGCTTCTACTGCAGCGCCGATGGTCAGCACGTGGATTCGAAAAGCCCGGCACCTCTTGGCTGTGTGATACCACTGGCCACGGCAGCTCTTCTGTGCAACCTTGCCGTCATAGGAGGTCTATTTTGTGTTGGGCGCTTCGCGTGGCAGTCCGGGGGAGCGGCTTCGGATGGAGATGTCACGGAGTTGCGACGCGCCAGCTTGATTGCTGACCTCCAAGTCTGGCGCGGTTTCAGCGCCAAGGTCCTCCTGATGGCCGGGTTAACCTACCTGGTTGCCGGCCCAGCGTGCGCTGGCTTGGCAAAGCTGGCTCTCATCTTCCTTGCCACTGGCTTCATCACTTTGTATGCCACGGCCCTGTTTTTCGACCAGGAGTTTGATCAGGTGCGGATGTCACCGAGACTCTTCAGGTTTCTTGTAGTGTACATCCTCGTCGGCCTGACCTTCACTGCGCTCGCATGCGGGGCGACTCAGAGGGTGGGAGGAGCCACGACCAAGCGAAGTTCCGGATCGCGCGATCCGGGGGAGACCAGTGGCCTAGGCGCAAGCGTCACTTGGCAGCCCAGTGGTACCTTTTACCCCTTTTCTTTTGGTTCTGAGTTCCCTTATAGTTCCCTTGTAAAGTATCTAACCCAAAAAAGGGTACGCATATCTTAATTAATGTTTTTTTACTGGTCTACCAAGGTCATAGGCCCAGGCGACTCCAAGTATTTTGCAAACGTTTGCACTGCCCTGGGTTGGCAGCAGGTGGCGCCACCCAGGTCTTTGTCATAGTTGGGTAACATTTTAATTTTTAGGGGTCCTTAAACCCAATAAGGAATATAAATATTGAATTTTTTAATACTATCCCAACCATGAACTAGAGGTGCACAATTCCTTTGGACTTTGCATCTGGTGTGTCTTTGTGGTGGGCTGCATCACCAGTTTTTGCAGTTCTGCTGCCTACACCCAGGGAGACCACCGCACCTGGGAGCTCCTGCCGGCGCTTTCTGCAACGGTGGCGCAAGCACATCGATGGGGCCATTCTGCTTGTTCTTGTTGTGCTTCTTGCACTTTGTTATCAACCGTGCGCACGCCTGGCACCGATTGCATATGGTAATGCTGAGATGGGAGCTTGGGCTGTGTCGTTGCTGACTCTACTGCGGCGGGTGTCTCCGCTCGGCTGTGATGGGTGGAGGGGTCCTTTATCGCACTTGCAGAAGCCACCACCAAGACAGGTGCCTGCCCAGTGCTCCGTGTGCTTGCAGGACTTGCAGGCGACAGAGGACTTGTGCCAAACGGCGTGTGGCCACGAATTTCACCGCAGTTGCTTAGAGGACTGGGTTCACTCAAGGCGATGGCAACATCCTGGCTGCCCTCTTTGCAGAGAGTCCCTCGCCAAGGAGGACTCGGATCCAGCACATTTGTTGGCGCGACAGTGGCTTTTGAGCTGAGGCATGTTTGCACACCGCATCGCCGCCTCTGCAGTTATAGCAGTCTCACTCCTAGGAGCAGGTCATTGCTAAAGCCTCCTTGCCAGGCTGTAGGCGAATTTTTAGTCTACCAGGGTTTCAAGGCTTGCATAAGACAGCATGAAAAAGCGACTCACCGAAACCACCAAGTAGATGCTCTCAGCGAACACGCACAGGGTTTTCGTTTGACGCTCGCTGACCTTACTTGTGAATTGTGGGCAGTTCTCCAACTTAGGATCCTTGTTGGGTCCCCCCTATGTGGAAATGTGCGAACAGAGGGGACCCCTAAAATAGACCCCAAGTAGCAGAATCCCCTTACAATAAGGACCCCAAGAAGGTACCCCTAAACGGAAGCCCCCCTATAGTACGGTACCTGTAACAATGAGGAGCCCAATTTAGAGAACTACTCACTCACAAGGACTCCAGAGGTTCTCCTCCTGGTGAGAGACTTTAGTCTCACCTCTCCCCCCAACGAAAATTAGGGTTCAGGGTTTAGGGTTTAGGGTTTGAGGTTTAGGGTTTAGGGTTTAGGGTTTAGGGTTTAGGGTTTAGGGTTTAGTTTTAGGGTTTAGGGTTTAGGGTTTAGGGTTTAGGTCTTCTGTACTCTTTGGGGCCAGGCCCAAGGGAGCCCTTGATGCTCATGGCAGTGGATGTGGCCATTGATGGGGGCGAGTGGGGTGACGGCCAGCTGCCTGAGGTGGGGTTTGGGGTTTAGGGTTTGGGGTTAGGGTTTAGGGTTTAGGGTTTAGGGTTATGAGATTGTGACAGCTGGGTTTCGCCAAGCCTGCAACGACGGTCTGCAATGCAGGGCTAGGGGGAGCTCAGAGGTTGACTCTTTCAGCCTGACTTTACTTCTGCCTCGTGCCTAAGCACTGCGCAAGCCCAGATCCGTACGCCTAAGCCCGAGATCCGAAGCTTCATGTCTACTACACCCTGTACATCGCCCCAGGCCCCAACATGATCGGGTGTGGCATTCAGAAAGAAAGTAAACCCTAAACCCTAAATGAACCCAACCCTGAACACCCGAACGCCCTGAAGCCTCAGTAAGACGCTAGGAAGGCTCTTGGGAGGAGCCCAGGCAGAAATACTTTTCTCAAGCCTTCGAGGGTCAACCTAGAGTAGTTGGGAACCTGTCACTCCAGTTTATTAGAGTAAATATAGAAGGTATAGTAAGTTACAGCTTAATACAGACGTTATGTATTTGCCATATGTGTGCATATATATATATATATATAGAGAGAGAGAGAGGTTCTGCGTTGCTTTCTTTAGTGTATATGTATATATACATATATGTATACACTATAGAATGCATTTACGGTGCGAAAACACGTGTATATATGTATATGTATATATAGAGATATACTTATTTAGTTATTTTCTTTATTTTCTTTCTTGCTTGATTTACTTTTCATACATATAATCATTCTTCATTCAGTTGTTTTTTTTATTGCTTCTTTATTTTATTTATTTGCTTATCCTGTGTATTTCTGCATATATTTCTATCTATATATATATATATATATATGTATATATATATATATATAGAAATATATATATATATATATATATGTATGTATGTATGTGTAGTGTGCATCTCTGGGGCGGTGTCGTGGCCTTCGCAGGACCTCGAGGATCCCGAGGCCTGGCTCAGCCGGCGCCTCACGAAGCTCTTAAGCACAGCTGACGGGTCGGCCGCCCGAATCCTGACCCCTAGGGTTTAGGGTTTAGGGCTAGGGTTTAGGGTTTAGGGCTAGGGTTTAGGGTTCAGGGTGGCGGGGCCTCTCATGCTGCCCTCCGTTTCAGGCCGGAGGGTCAGCAGTCCTGGCTTAAAGGATTGGGGGATTGCAGACTGTCACCCTGGCCCAAACCCATCACCAACCGAACGTGCTGAGGTTCTACAGGCAACCCTCAACCCTAAACCCTAAACCCTTCAGACTCAGAGATAGCGCCGAGTAAACCGGAAACCCTAAACCCTAAACCCCGTTAGCCTCGAAACTTTGATTCCTAAGATTTCCTAAGCCTTGAAGTTGAAGCTACTCTCCTCGGCCAGCGACACTGAAGAAACAATGGGCCACCATGTGCCCGAAGCCCCAAACCCCAAAAAGCCCCCAAACCCAAAACCCAAAAAGCCCCCAAACCCCAAACCCCAAACCCCCAACCCCAAACCCCAAACCCCAAACCCCAAACCCCAAACCCCAAACCCCAAAAGCCCTAGCTGCGTTAGAGCAATTGCCTTGCCTTCTTTGTTTGAACATCGAAGCCCTGGGTATAGGGTCCAGTGTCATGTAGAGAGCACGGCCATGCTGCCATCCCTTCCGGTTTAGGGTTTAGGGTTTAGGGTTTAGGGTTTAGGGTTTAGGGTTTAGGGTCTAGGGTCTAGGGTTTAGGGTTTAGGGTTTAGGGTTTAGGGTTTAGGGTTTATGGTTTAGGGTTTAGGGTTTAGGGTTGAGATCTTGACGCTCAACCATGCCTGACATCAGGTCTACTTGCCTGGCTGGACTCAGGTGCCAATGTGGGCCATGTCGCGCGTCACGGGAGTTTTCTCTTCGAGCTCTAAAATTTTAAGGATTCTAAGGATTTTAAAGACTGTAAGGATTTAAAGATTTTAATAGGTGTCCCGGCGCCCCTGGGCCCCCGGGACCCCTTTAAAATCTTTAAAATCCCCGGTCGCTCTAGTGGTTCTACCTTGGACCCTCAAGGTTGCAACCTTGGGTTGTGGGGGGTTTAGGGTTTAGGGTTTAGGGTTTAGGGTTTAGGGTTTAGGGTTTAGGGTTTAGGGTTTAGGGTTTAGGGTTTAGGGTTTAGGGTTTAGGGTTTAGGGTCCCTGGCGGAATATAGAATATTAAGGGAACCTTAGGGGTACGAGCCTTCATCCCTTGGTGCGCTCTTCAGGATGTGTAAAGGTTCGCAGTCGGGAGAAATAAGCCTAGCAATCGTTGCCCCCAGCTCGTCAGGTAGACCGTGCTGCCTTAAGCAATATCATCAGACATGACGATACATACTATAGCTACACATGTACATATGAACATAGGTTTTGTTTGAGACACGAAAGATTCGGAGTCAATGCTTCTTAGCGCCACATCAGATAGCCCCCAAAATCGAGTCGGAGTGCTTTTCGCGCCGCATCCTCTTCTGGAGATCAGCTGCGGACTTTTGACCCGTTCGATGCTTGGCCGCAGATGTCACCCAGTTCAAACCGATGGATACTTGTACATGATGCCACCACGTCTTTCCTTAGCACTTGTGTGATCCATTGCTGGGTCCCAGGGTTTAAGATTTTCCCCCCGGCTTCGACAAGACCCAGCGCCAACAAAACCTGGCAGCGTGCCCGAAACCCGACCCCGCCAAACCCATGAGCCCCACATGGCAAAAAGCGTACCCCAAACCATAAGCCCTAAACCCTAAAACCTAAACCCTAAACCCTAAACCCTAAACCCTAAAACCCTAAAACCCTAAAACCCTAAACCCTAAACCCTAAACTCTAAACCCTAAACCCTAAACCCTCAACCCTAAACCCTGACCCTCAACCCTTTAAACCCGAGACCCCTCAAACACCATAGCCAGGTGGCCGCCTCGTGGCCAACCTCGGATCCCTTAGCCGAGGTGGCGGCACGGGATGGCGTTCCTGCCCTAAACCCTAAGCCCTAAACCCTAAGCCCTCTTCGGAGATGGTGCTGCAGAAACCCTAAACCGGTTCGTCAGCTGTGCAGGAGTTTAGGGTTTAGGGTTAGGGTTTACGGATGCAAAAAAGGGTTAGGGTTTAGGGTTTAGGACCTTGAAGAACTTGCATGTTTTTTGCCATGAGATTCCGGGGGGGGGGGGGGGGGGGCGTGCCTTGGACCCTAAGACTTGGCCTTGAAGAAACCCTCGACTCGAATTCCGAGAGCCCCAGCAACACCTAAACCCTGAACCCTAAACCCTGAACCCTGAACCCTGAACCCTAAACCCTAAACCCTAAACCCTAAACCCTAAACCCTACACACCCAACCCAGGCCTAGCCCCACGCTCGGCAGCCAGCTTGGATGCCCTGGCTGAGGCAGCAGAGGCCTTGTCTCTGAAGGTGGCTTGCTTATGGGATGCCGAAAGAATCGGGGATGAGGGTGTGGGGGCTCTAAGTGCAGGGAGGGGGGCATGCTTGCACCAGCCCCTGGCTGGAGATGAAGCGCTTCGGGAAGCACCATGCAAGGCTTGAAACCGTAAGCTTGAGGATCTTGGGTGCCGCTACTTGCCAGCATGACAGGTGTGGCTTACTCGGTATGCGAACAGTGACGAGGACCGTGGGAGCAAGCCTCAATCTTGATTCAGACAGGACTGGAAATTCACTCGAGATTCTCTGGTCTCTTTTCCGGGGGGTTTCTGAAGTCTACGATGTTGGTTTTCTTCTCGGGCTTGAGGGCTTTCTGGTTTAGGGTTTAGGGTTCAGGGTTTAGGGCTGACGATGGCCTCGCTTGGTGAGAGGCCGGGTGGAGAGGAGAAGCCTGCTAGAACATGCTCTGAAAGGGCTTCTGTTTGCAAGGAGATGTCCTGAGTCTGTAGCTGACACCCCGAAGAGAGTCCCCCAAGTAGTAGGCCCGAAACCCGAAACCCGAAACCCTAAACCCTAAACCCTAAACCCTATAGACCCTGATTTCCAAGAGCCAGGAAATGGATGGCCTGGACCCAGCCACACTCCGCAACGACTGTGCCAGACCCGGGGCGCCGCATCCGAAACCCTAAACCCTAAACCCTAAACCCTAAACCCTAAACCCTAAACCCTAAACCCTAAACCCTAAACCCTAAACCCTAAACCCTACACCCTACACCCTAAACCCTAAACCCTAGCCCTAGAGCCCCAAACCCTAAACCCTAACCCTGACGTTGAGCCTTCCCTTGAATGCAGAAGCAGACCGCAAGAAGGGTTTTCGATGTAGTCAGAACGCCATTGAAACGATGTCGTACTGACACCCCTAAGAGAGGCGTGCCTAACGAGGTCTTGCTTGCTTCTTGCGAGCGTCAGAGTCCAAACCCGAAAAACAAGTTTCCACTCATGGTCCCTACATAGTTATTCTAGCATAGCCTCCCAAAAAAGATTCTAATGGTTAAGACCCCTCAATTACATCAAAAGGGTACGGGACCCTTTTGCTGGCATATTCCGATCTTTTCAGGAAGTTGGATGAGGCAGCGCTGATGGGCAAACTGAAACGCTTTCATGGTTGTTTCATTAGGGTTAGGGTATAGGGTTTAGGACCAAGTTGGGTTTAGGGTTTAGGGTTTGTGTGTCGGCTGCTTGTCTGGCTCTTTGAATCACAAGGGTCCCCTGCAAGTGGCGCCCCCAAAGAATCGAAGACCTAAACTCGTAGCGAAGATTTTGATGGGGTGACCCCTTGGGAGGAGTTGGGCGACTTGGCCACTAAACCCTGAGCCCCAAAACGGCCTTTGTACAGGCTGTGAGTGGGAATGTCTCTGCTAATCTTCAATGTGTCATGGCCTGTGAGTGTCTGCAGTGCATCGAGACTGTGCAGGTGGCAAAATAAATCCCTAAACCCTAAATTCTAAGCCCTAAACCCTAAACCCCAAGCAGCATGCAAGGTGCGGACGCCAACCTGCTTGCCTTGGTCGGCACGGAGATCTCCGAGAGGGCTTGGGACGCAGTGCAACAAGGCGCCAGACCGGCCATGATGCCATTCAGCTAGCGTTTAGGGTTTCGGTCGCCTACACAGAACGTTTATTCCGTTCAGACCTCATACCCTTGCACGCGTGCCGGCTGTAGAGTCGAGGGTAGTTTGCTTCTTCTTTTGTCTGTTTGAAGGACTTATCAACCCCTATCAGCAGATGGAGGTACCCCAAAGAGAGACCACCATCTAGTATCCCCAAAGGACACCCGAGATATACACTCACCATGAACAGTAAATACTCTGCTACCCTAAACTTAAACTTAATGCGAGATCTGGAGGCGGTGAGTGTCCGCAGAGCTTTTTAGGATCAGCGCCTGCCAGCCAAGTCGATTGCGACAGCTTATTTTCTAAACACTAAACACCCTATCCCTATAGGCCCTACACCTTCAAGTGCCTTCCCTGCCGCCTCCCGCAGACACCCGACGATCAACAGGCAAGCAAAAATGGCGCCTACCACGCAAGGAGTTGCTGCCCTCGCCGGCTGCGCCGCGGTCGCAGGAACCGCCTTCGTCGCACTTCCGGCCACCCATGAACAAGCAGCCGCCCCGGCCCTTCGGGGGCAGCGCGCCGCGTCATCTAGCAGCACTGGCCAGGGTTTCCTGAACGCCGTGGGCGTGGCTGTTGGGGGATCTGCCGCCCTGGTGGCGGCGAGGAGGTTGCGGAAGGAGACGGCCTCGCAGAGGACGGTCCTCTGCGCCTTCGAGAATGAGCTCGGGGTGCAAGCGCCTGTCGGCTTCTGGGATCCAGCAGGCTTCACCTCCGACGGCGACTCGCAGGAGTTCTTCCGCCGCCGGGTCGTCGAGGTCAAGCACGGGCGCGTGGCGATGTTGGCGTGCACCGGGTACATCGTGCAGGAGTTCTTCCGCTTCCCAGGTTACCTCTCGCCCACTTCGGACATCAAGTTTGAAGACGTTCCGAACGGCCTGGCCGCTGTGACCAAGGTCCCTGCAGTCGGATGGTTCCAGTACACCATCTTCTGCGGCCTCTCCGACCTCTGGTTCGCCCACCAGGCGGCGAGCAACCCTCCTGGCAAGCTGACCACGCGCTTCTGGGGTGAGGAGGCCAGCAACTACGAGTACGGCTTCCTTGGTGTGCCCACCTACCTTGGAGGCAAGAGCTTCGCGGATGAGGAGACCAAGAAGACGAAGCTCAATGCAGAGCTTGCAAACGGCCGTCTGGCCATGATGGCGATCATTGGCATGTTCTTTCAAGATGGCCTCACCGGATCTGCTTGGGGTGACTGGGCCAACTACACGGATTCCCCGCTCCGGGCCTTCGAGAACGAGCTGGGCGTCCAGGCCCCGCTCGGCTACTTCGATCCTTTAGGGCTCTCCAAGGACGGTGATGTGGAGACCTTCCGCCGCCGCCGTGAGTCGGAGATCAAGAACGGACGCGTCGCAATGTTTGCAACCATGGGATACATGGTTCCTGAGTACTTCAAGTTTCCGGGCTATCTCGCCCCGTCCTCCAACCTCAAGTTCGCCGACGTGCCCAACGGCCTGGCTGCGATCACCAAGGTGCCCGCCGAGGGCTGGCTGCAGTGGGTGGCGCTGTGCGGCTGCTATGAGTGGTGCGTCAACGAGCCCGTGGACCCTGCCGATCCTGGAAACTACGGCAAGGGCAAGCTCGGCTACGGCAACATGGTGCTGGGCATCACCGGTGAGAGCATCAGCGACCCTGAGTCCCGCAAGAGGGGCCTCAACTCCGAGCTCGCCAACGGCCGCCTGGCGATGATGGCCATCGTGGGCCTCTGGGTCCAGGACGGCCTCTTCGGGACTCCCTACGGCTTGTACCAAGGCGCCAGCGCTTTCGAGGCTGAGCTCGGGGTGCAGCCTCCTGTCGGGTTTTGGGATCCTCTTGGCTTCACCAAAGGCGGCGACGCCGCATCCTTCCGCCGCCGCCGCTACGTGGAGCTGAAGCACGGCCGCGTCGCCATGTGACTTTGTCATGGTTGGGACATATTTTGCATTTGTTAAGGGTACTTAAACCCAATAAGGAATATAAGTGAACATTCTAATGCTATCCCAACCATGAACTAGGTTAGCTTGCATGGGCTACATTGTGCCGGAGTACTACCGCTGGCCTGGAGATCTCTCGCCCTCCCTCGGCCTTAAGTTCACCGACGTGCCCACGGGCTTCGCTGCCTTCAGCAAGGTGCCGCTCTCTGGTTGGGCCCAGATGGTCGGCTTCGCTGGATCCGTGGAGCTGTTCCAGTATGTCGATGACCCCAAGCGAGCTCCGGGCGACTTCGAGAACGCCGGCCTCCTCGGCATTCCCAACGGCTTCATGAAGACCCCGGAAGACCAGAAGGAGAAGAAGTTGGCTGCGGAGATCGCGAACGGCCGCCTTGCGATGATGGCCATCATTGGCATGTTCTTCCAAAATGGCCTCACGGGCACTGCATGGGGAGACTGGTCTTTGTACACTGACTCGCCCCTGCGCGCCCTCACCCCTGCCCAGGAGCTCATTGCCGGCACCGGCGGCCCCTTGCCCGACATGTACTGGGATCCTGCAGGCATCTCATCCAAGGCCACCGAGAAGGAGATTCTGAACTACCGCGCCATTGAGCTCAAGCACGGCCGTGTAGCCATGCTGGCAGTCCTGCACTGGTTCCACGTGGCCGCCGGCTACCACCTTCTTGGTGACTATGCGTCCGGTTCGAAGATGTCCAACAACCCGCTGGTGAACATCACACAGCTGCCCATGGCCGGCATGTGGCAGGTCGTGTTCACCATCATGTGCCTGGAGTGGCTGACCACCTACATCTGCAAGCCCCCTGAGGATCGTCCCTGGGATGTGCTGGGATGGAAGGGCATCATCATCGAGGACTACCCCTCCAAGATCTGGAACAAATGGGACGAAGTCAAAGTCCGGGAGCTCAACAACGGCCGCCTGGCCATGATCGCCATCACCGGGCTTGTGGCACAGGATGTGGTCACCGGCGAATACGCCGCGGGTGTCGGTGAGCCCTGTGGCGGCTCTGACTTCTGCAAGGATTTGAGCAACCCCGAGGTCGTCGACTTCTCCCCCTGGACGCAGTTGCCTCCTATCGACGACTTCGTCAACAATGCCCCGTCCTGGGCTACGCCACCTCAGGTGTTCAACACCTGGCAGTGAGCCAATGTGGCACTGCGAGCGTAGCGAAGGAAGATGAAGGCAGGAAGTGCGCATAGAGGATTAGCAGTATAGATGGCAGACGCTGAACTGGAACGCCGGATTTTTGTTTCGGCTGTTCAGGGCCAGAGGCAAGTGGAAGGATTCTCTGACTCAAGCCACCCACCCCCTTCAAAAGTCTTTAAGCCCCGCAACTCCGAAGTTGTTGCCAGTCGTCAACTTGTGATCCGCATGTGCCAGTGCGTGTGCCAGTTGTGAGAGTCGAAGCCCTCAACCCTTTTGGGCAGGACTCTTGCGGAGGTCAGACACCCAGAAGCCTGCACATGCACATACACACACACAAATGTGTCAATGATTGTGGAGTTGTCGACCGTTTGGTGGCCTAAACTACCCAGAGCCCTGGACTCTTAGACACCTGCACCTCCCTCACCGAATCATGTCCCGACATGTTCCGTCCTGCTTAGGCATGTTTGCTGGCGCGCATGGGCACCGCCGCACCGAAAAAGCGGGTGGCAGATTGGCGTGCGGGGTGTTGGGGGCTGATAGGGCCCGTTCAGGGTTTTGGAGGGCTTAGGGATCGACAGTCCCTGTGCAGAGAGCACGGAGCGGCTCACTAAATGCTGGCCCCAGATCCCGCGTCATCACCGGAAGCCTCTAAGGAGCCACGGTGAGTATAGTTTGGAGGGTTTAGGGGTTAGGGTCTAGGGGTTCGGGTTTAGGGTTTTGGGGTTTGGGGGTTTTGGGGTTTAGGGTTTTAGGGTTTTAGGGTTTCGGGTTTAGGGTTTAGGGTTAGGGGGTTTAGGGGTTTAGGGGTTTAGGGTTTAGGGTTTAGGGTTTAGGGTTTAGGGCTTCTTGACGAGCCGGGGCGTCTCGGAGCAATGTGGAGAAACGCAGTCGCCATCGGCTCAAGCCGCTGAGGCAAGTGCTAACAGGCAGATGCAGCAGAAGATGAATTCGGCCACCTTCCCTTGGTCGCACGGTGTAGGGTTTAGGGTTTAGGGTTTCGGGTTTAGCGTTTAGGGTTTAGGGTTTGGGGTTTGGGGTTTGGGGTTTAGGGTTTAGGGTTTAGGGATAATTCTCCAGGAGTTTAACCCAGAAAGAAATACAGGCTTGGCGCAGTCTCTGTTTCACACGGAGGAGGTTGAATGCTTCCCGCATTCTGGGATGCGGCGCCTTCTGCTTTGTCTGGGTCTGTTTTCATGTGGGCTGGTGTTTCTCCTGCGGGGACGCCTGGATGAGGTTAGAGCGGCTGTTCCGCAGCTGGAGCAGCTAGTTCCTGTTGACCTCCTGGTGCCATGGGTCATTCTTGAAAATCCTTTTTTATCTTGTATGAATACTTAAACTCAGTAAGGAACACCACTGATGATTTTCTAGTAGTACCCCAAGAATGGTGCAGGTGCAGCTACAGGATACTTGGCAGGGCTGGGAGAACTACACCATCACTGTGGAACCCCAAGCGGTCAAGAAGCCGACCCTGGAAGATGCGCTCAGGCAAGATGCTTCCGTAAGCGCAAGGGCCATGACGTGCTCAGTGGCCAGTACAGTTCACTTGTAGGTGCTGTTGGTTTTATATATATATATATACAGGTATATATATATTATATTATATGTATTATTTATTTATTTTATTTTATTTTTCCGTGTGTGTGTGTGTGTGCGCGCGCATGCGGCTTGGTTTCGGGGATTTTGGTAGGGTGGGGCGGGGTGTGTGGCCGGCTGGGAGTTTTCTTGCTTTGTCTGTGCGTGCTTGCAGTATGCGACAACCAGCACTACTCTTCGCCTCACGTGTGCAGTTGTGAGCGTTGCGTGCGCCCTAAACCCTAAACGCTAAACCCAAACCCGAAACCCGAAACCCTAAACCCTACACCCCAAACCCTAAACCTTGGCAGAAATGAACCCTAAGCCCTAAACCCTAAACCCTATCAACCTAAAAGACTGCTTGCCAGGCAGCATGCCGGCATCTACTTGAACAAGTCTCACGCACCCGAGCTGAAGGATGTTCTCCTGCTCACAGCTGCCAACTCTGGCTACCTAAACATGCTGCAAAACTGGGAATCCGGGCCGCTTCTGAGTAAGGTTTAGGGTTTTGGGTTTAGGGTTTGGGGTTTGGGGTTTTGGGTCTTAGGGTTGGCGAGCGCAGTTTGTGCTTTGGATTTTGGGGCGCATTCTTTTTGGAGAACGACACGCGAGTTGCAGTAGAGATTGGGCCATTTTAGCTTCACAGAAGAAGCTCAGTAAGAGGAATGTTTCGCCAAGAAGCTGGGATTAGATTGGTTCGTCATTGCCATGGACGAGAATCTTCATCGGACTCTGGGACCCGAGCGCAGCTTCCTCTCCCTCGGGGAGCAGCACGACTCCTCTGAAAGATTTGGAACTTTGCCTGGCACCAGTAGTCGTTTCGTTTTCGTGCATCCCCCGGTTTTTGAGGGGTGTTGTATGCGCCTATTGCCTCTTCAACCTGTTGATGCTCAGAAAAGGAACCGTAGGCTTCCGCACGGTGGCCTGCAATAAGCTCCGATCCATTGCACACGTCCTGGCGGTGACGCAGCTGGATCTCGTCTTCACAGATAGCGACAACGTCTTCAAGACGGATCCCTTCCTCCCATCCCTCACCCTTGGAAGCATGATGCGGTCCGGGAAGTTCGAGTACCTGGGACCCGAGTGGGCCCTGATTTCCTTTGTCTTTTGGGGTTGGGGTTCCCTTATAATCCCCTTAGCCAGAAAGGGTACCCTCTTGATTCCTAGGTTATCCTAAACCCTAAACCCTAAGCTAAACCTTAAACCCTAAGCCCTAAACCCTAAACCCTAGACCCTAGGCCCTAAGCCCTAAACCCTAAACCCTACACCCTAAACCCCAAACCCTAAACCCTAACCCCTAACCCCTAACCCCTAAACCCTAAACCCTAAACCCTAAACCCTAAACCCTAAACCTAGGTACATCTATGGGCGGAAGATCCAGCCTCCTGGGCCGAGACCTGGGGAGTACCACGAGGAGCCTCCCAAAGCGAACACTGGCTTCTACTACGTCTCAGGTGCCCGAAAGCCACGGGTGGTGCAGAGCCTCTTAGTAGCTGAACGAGTACGCTTTACATGTTTTTGAGATAATATGACCCCCTGTAGAGCTGAAAGTGTACACTCTTTCTTTGGGGGGTTTTATGAACTCAGCAACTAAGATTTAATGTAACCCTAAACTCAAAACCCTAAACCCGAAACCCTAAACCCTAAACCCTAAACCCTAAACCCTAAACCCCAAGGCCTCTTCAACCTCAGTGTGGAGTGGTGCGATCGCCGCCCTGGGCTCGATGACCAAGAGAACTTCTGGGATGCCTTGGCATCTTGCTTAGGGTTTAGGGTTTAGGGTTTAGGGTTTAGGGTTTAGGGTTTAGGGTTTAGGGTTTAGGGTCTAGGGTTTAGGGTTTAGGGTTTAGGGTTTAGGGTTTAGGGTTTAGGGTTTGGATTAGACTTTTTTGGCTCCCTTCCTGATTCATGGGAGAAGTAAGGCAACTATTCGGAAGAAGAAGGCCCATGAGAAAGGGTACATAGGTTGCTTGCTCAGCCAATAGTTGCAACTGTAAACTTTTTGAATCAGAAACGTTGAGCCTTCTTGAGTAGAACTGTAAACTTTTTGGGTTCCTTTCTTAGTAGGAGTAGTAACGTTTAACCTTTGTTGCCGACTCCTGGGTTGTTTGGGGAAGTAAGGTTGCTTTCGCCACTGCGAGAATGAGAAGTGCTCCGACGTGGAGGAGCTGTCGGTGTTGAATTACTGCGACATGAGTCCCTACGAGTATGTGCTGGGCTCCGTCGATCCTCGGCTCGCCCAGCAGGAGCCGTATCACCTGGCGCCTGGAACGCAAATTCAGGCTTGTGATCGCTCGGGTTAGGCTTTAGGGTTAGGGTTTAGGGTTTATAGGGTTTAGGGTGTAGGGTGTAGGGTTTAGGGTTTAGGGTTTAGGGTGATGTTACGGAACAGGAGAGCTGCCAGTAGATCTTTCGAAGCGTTTCAAGAACAACGAAGGTGACGTACCACGCCACCCATGTCTGGGGGAAGGATCAGAAGAAGCAGAAGTTGCAGAAGGTGGGCTTAGGGTTTAGGGTTTAGGGTTTAGGGTTTAGAGTTTTGCCTGGGCATCGTACTGTATTCAAGTCCCGATCGGGCAACGTTCACCATTATCCTCACGGGATTCTGCAAGGTTGCACCCTTGGGTTTGGGGGCACAGATCCTCACAGATCCTCTATAAGAAACCTCCAGAAAGCCCGACGCAAATCTCTTCGAGCCCTAAAACACCTCATACAAACCTTTTATACTTGGCGGTTCATAAGCCCTTAAGTGCCCTAGTATGGGTATAAGTACAGTATAAGTACCGTTCTTATTGGTTAACAAGTACCATGAACCTCCAAGTGGTGGCAGAAACAAACCTAAACCCTAAACCCTAAACCCTAACCCTAAACCCTAAACCCTAAGCCATGTGCAAGGCCCAACTCTGGGACGACGTCTGCCAGCAAGCCGCGCAGGCGGCTTTGAACGCCTCGGCCACCGAAGCTTCGCACGTCTAAAAAAAGTCGCAGGGTTTAGGGTTTAGGGTTTAGGGTTTCGGGTTTCGGGTTTCGGGTTTAGGGTTTAGGGTTTAGGGTTTAGGAAAAAAGGGTTGGTCTCCCCTTCCCTCACCGCGCGCGTGCGCGCGTGTGTACCCTCAGATGTGTTCGGATTCGATGTCGGTACTACCCCAGAAATTCCATTTGTAGTACCATTATGGAATTAGGTACCCTTTTTTGGGTACCTAAATCCATAATAGTAATACAAATGGACCCTCTGGGTACTGTATGTTCAAGAGGTGTCGCCTGCTTCATCCGCCCGTCGTTCGTCTTGTACTTCCTGGCCGGTCGCGTCCTTTCCTTTCCCCGCCTACTTCCTTGCCCAGCTGGCGATGGAAGTTGTTCGTCCGATAGCTTCGGTTTCTTGGTGCGTCTATCTAATTTCAACTAAAGCCTAGAAACCCTAAGCGCTCTTGCGTTTGGGGTGTATGGGATTTGTTGGGTGAATTCTCGCGTGTTTTTGGTTTTTTTGGTTTGCCGTGAGAAGTTCTAGATGACTTGCTCTAGAACCCTAGAACCTTTAACTTTGTTGAACTTTTAGAACAATCAGAACTTTGAAAACTTCTGAAGCTTGTGAGACTTTTTGCCTTGAAAACTTTCAGAACATTTAGAGCTCTTGGAACTCTTCGACCGTTTAGACCTTGCGGAACTTTTAGAACTTTTGGCTTTTAGAACGTTTAGAAGTAACTGCTAGGGGCCGTATCACCATAAACTCGAATGGAAATAGAATGCCCATGAGTCAAGAGGACGACCTCTAAGTTCGCCATGCAGCACACAGTTTAGGGTTTAGGGTTTAGGGTTTAGGGTTCAGGGTTTAGGGTTTAGGGATTAGGGTGAAATAACTCGTTTCCGAATCGGCTGGTTGTCGAGAGAAAAACACGAAGGAAAACCTTGTCCCTTCGGGCGCTAGCATAAACAACCTTCGCAACGAAATCTCTGAAGTGAGACCCGGGAAAGGGGATATCAAATACAGCAAAAGAAAAGAGAAAGAGTCTCCTTACCCCGACCGAGGAATATCGTTTAGGGTTTGGGGTTTAGAGATCTTGGGGTTTGGGGATTGTGGGGCTTAGGGGTCTGGGGGAGAGACCTGGATGCAAAAAAAGGGGTTTAGGGGGGTTCGCGGTTTGGGGTTTGGGGATTTTAGGGTTCAGGGGTTTAGGGTTTCGGCCCCCCTCTCAATCGAGACAACCGGACCCTCCATTTTTGAGCTTGCGGCATCCAGCCGCGCATTTTTGATCCTTTGAACGCCAGGCTCTTGGTGCTTACACCAATGAGTTCTTCAAGCAGCACAGTCACTTTACCTTGGATCTGGCTGCACCCGAAACCCTAAACCCTAAACCCTAAACCCTAAACCCTAAACCCTAAACCCTAAACCCTAAACCCTAAACCTGCAGGCTATCAAGCCGCACCCGAAGATCACAGAGAGAAGAAGAACCATGGCCGATAAACTCTAGCTGCAGCCAGAAGAGTCGCTGAGCTCGCTCCCGAAGAACGTGTATAGGGTTTAGGGTTTAGGGTTGTTCCCCCTTGTACGAACAGTCCTTATAGTGGGGATTATAGTAGGGGGTGCTACAATCCGTATGAGGGACTGTTAGCATAAGGGGGAACATCCTAATATAGGGGCCTTAATGATTCAAATAGGTTTTTTTTTTTGGGGGGGAGGGGGGGGGAGGGGGGGTTATTGTCGTATAAGCATAAAGGGACCATGAGGAGTGCTTTTAGTAATTCTTCCGACCCCTATGGTACCTGACGACCTTGACTGCTAACCATCATGCCGCAAGTTTAGGACCCAAGGAGACAAGCCAATTGAGATACTCCGCTTGCACATTTTGAGTGTGCCGCGTTCCCTCCTTTTGTCGCGGCAATGGCTGATGATGATCTTGTGACCACCGTGGGAAATCCGGGCGAGGCTCCTACGGCACTTCAAGTGCCGGGGCTTCAACCAGTTGACATAATGTTTCTTTCCTAGTTTAGGTCAGATCACCCTAAACCCTGAACCCTGAACCCTAAACCCTTCAGATCACTTTTTCATGCCTTGGAACCATGACAGGATCAGGTGGCACTTATGACGGACCATTTGGCGGATTTCTACACCTCCATGCAGGCCGTGAGCCCTGATATGGTCCGAGGCATCCGTGTGTTTCAGATTCTCCAAGCTCTTCCATGGTAGCTGGCTGTGCATCTGGATAGGGTTTAAGACCGAGGGCTTAGCATTTGGGGTAAAAGAGTGGGGATAAGTTTGTAGGGAGGTAAACCGTGAGCCCCAAACTTGTAGCAGTTGCTTGAGGAGTAAACGCTGCCACATTGCCTAGGCGCTGGTTCCAGGGCGATTTGCCTTCGCTGTATCAATTGAGCGAGGCATCTGCGGAATTGGATGAGTTTTGGTCACACAGCTGGCGGGCTTCCCTCTGGATTAAGTACGTCAACATCCTGTATTTGAGCTTGCGGCGTGTTTGTGAGACCTAAACCCTAAACCCTAAACCCTAAACCCTAAACCCTAAACCCTAAACCCTAAACCCTAAACCCTAAACCCTAAACCCTAAACCCTAAACCCTAAACCCTAAACCCTAAACCCTAAACCCTAAACCCTAACCCTAAACCCTAAACCCTGTGCATCCTCTGACCTATGTGGAAGACCGCAAAGGAATAACTGCACACTGGCGAGCTGTGTCGGAACCTTCTTTGCCGCCTTGGCAGCCGTGCTTTACTACATGGGTGTTTTGCCCTCGTGGGAACGAGGAGAGCAAGATTCCGGATCTGAATATACCGGGGGGCGGGGGGGGGGGGGGGGGGGGGGGGGCGGGGAAAGCTAAATTTAAGGTTTAAGCCAGAATCAGACTAGTGCCCTGCAGTGTGTCCGAGAGAGGTCAGCGAGGCAGGTGGCAAAAACACCCTATACCCCAAACCCCTGAAAAATGTGTTTTAGAGTCAACCCGAGGGTTCCCAGAAGGTCTGTGTTTAGAGCTGATAAAGGGCTGAAGCTTAGAGTTTCCTGTGTCATGCTAGCATTTTTTTCACGAAAGCGTGGCGAAGGGCTTTTCAGTGGAGGTGGCCTTCGAAAAGTTGTCGTTATTGTCGGTGGATGTCGTGGTGCATGGCGTGATTTGGTGTGAGGCATGTTCGCAAATTTATGTGTTAAAGCACAAGGTAGGCTTTGTGGGACCCTCCGCACCTCCTGAAATTCGCGCTGGCGCGTTGGGGGTCCTCGAGTTTTTGTGCGCCAGCGACGATGTTTGCGGCTTGTGCTGTGGGAGATGATGGATGGGATATGACGGGATGATATCTCAGAACAACCGGGTCGTCGCATCGTCTTCCAAACGTTTCGTTTTGTTGAAATGTAAAGGTCTCACGAGGTCTTAAGCTTGTGCCGTGACCCTCCAGTGAAGGATATCCGCATTGCAGATGGGCCACAACGTTTGGCATCGCAACATTCTATTTGGGCCTCTTACTTTACAGGCGGTCAAAGCTCGTTTTCTTCGATATCGGCTGCATACACCAACGAGACCGGGCATTGAAGATACGCGGTCTCCTCAGCCTGGGTGCGGTCCTGAAAAGCTCGAAGTCATTGCAGGTGCTGTGGCACCGGACTCTCGTGACGAGACTCTGGTGTCTCTTTGAAATTGGAGCTTTTCTGCACATTCGTCAAGAAGAAAAGAGGCCGCTGGCGGTTTGCCCACCACTGTTGGGGCCTGGTGCACTTGGATTCCATGTGTGTACGAGCCTATTTGTTTGTGCTGTGTTGTTTCTGGTGCGTCTGCAAGATATAGCAATGAGTGGCTTGATCCTGGTCGGCTGTCTTTTTTTCCTGTCGTTCACCATGCTTGTGCATGCAATGCGTGCATACTGCCGAGACATCGACACGATGCAACGTCAACTGATGGAGTTTTCAGTTCGCAGCGCTACATGCCACTGTTGTGAAAGCAGCTCGTGCGCCAACCACGCGGCAATTTGTGATCGTGCAGCTCCACCGCACTTGTTACTGGGATGTAGTACCTGAAACATCAGCAGCATGTTCTTTTTTTCTTGCTTTCATCATAAGACAGATGAAGGAAGTGATCCTGCAGTGCATCGTTGCCTGGTTCGGGTCAATTGAGAACTTCGAACTCCACGTCCGCTCTGATGTCCGTGAGTCAATGGCAGGTCAACTTGCAAACGGAGCCTTTCTGTACCACCGCATACTTGCAGCGACCACGCCACTCTTGTGGTTCTTTTTTGATATGACCATCAGCGTGAAAGATCACAGAAAACTTCCGGCTCTATTCCGGAGCTTGGGGTTGTGGCTTGCTACAATACCTTGCGTGGTCAAGCTCATGTTTCGCTTGAGCTATCGCCTGAGGACCAAGCGCGACAGTGTCTGTGCAGATTGTTTGGTCTCCACAGGCCTTACACTTTCAGTTTCCCTGCTGATCTTTGCTCTTCTCGTGGGCGGGACCTACCTTATCGAGCCCAACGATGAGTTCATGATCAAGACGTTGACCTTCTTTTGCGTGTCAGTTCTGATCACGGTCTTGGTCTGGCAGAAAGTGCCAACGATCCAATTGGACCCACAGCCCATAGCTCCCCATCCAGGCTACTAAAGTTTCGGGTTCGGGGTTCAGGGGGGGGTTCAGGTAATGCATGTTTCACCGATTTCACCGAGTAGTCTCACCGAGTTGCTTGGATCTTTACTCAGTGCAGATACCACATCTGCTCCTCCAAGGCCCCAAGGCTTCTAAAGTAGCCCCACATGTCTCTTTTTTTCTCGGCCGCAAAAAGAATGATTGGAGTGCCCAACCCCAGAGTCTCCCTCGAATGCCCAGCCCTTCTCCTGGAGTGTCCAACCCCAGAGTCTCCCTGGAGTGTCCAGCCCCAATTTCAAGTAAAACTAAGAAAGCGTATTTGAATTAATGTGTCTTTGTTTGAACATCTCATCTGCGCGCTTTCTTTTTAATGAGGAGCAAGGTGGGGATGTTCGAAATAAAATAATTTTTCTTTCTCATTCAATTCAATATATGATGGTCGTATTGATCCATGATTTTTGCCTACAAAAATGATCTATCTCTTCTAAGCCCACGATCTCAATTCTTAGTCGCACATTAATAACGCCGACAAATGCAACACTTCACGACGGAGATGGATTTAAGATTTTAATCTTGACGCCTGAAGGAATAAGGTTTCTTTCTCATTTCAGCATCATTGAAGTAAATCCGGTCGTGCCAATTAATGAAAATCTCAAAGATTAGGCTTCCTAATTCAAAATTTGTATGCTCAAGTATATCAGGATTTGTTGCGAGGAAATTTGTATTTGGATAAATCAATTTGTAAAGAATTGTGGTCCTAGGAATTGGGACGTGATTCTAATTGAAAATCGAGAGAAACCCAAAATATAAATGACATGAGAATCAGTCCTAAAATGAAATGAGCCACGATTGGATAATACTTTTACCACCACCCTAATTAAGGGAAGATATCAGAGGATTAGAGAAAAAAACATGAAGAAGAAAGGGATTCCCTCGAGATGAGGAAAATAGGTTTCTACTCTTATCTCTATGAAATAAATAAACCCTAGTTCATTCTTATCTAGCGTACTCAAGGAATCACTAGAAAGCTCAATATTAGACGACTATCGGCCAGTCCTTCAACTTGCGCGTCGGGATCCTGATCAAAATTCTGAATTCATTTGGAGGAATTGGATAGGATGATCGTATGCATCTTGTGGGCCCTTGTTTCTATCTCTGGCCCATTGCAGAGAAGTATGCCCATATTTCTGAAAGAAATATATTATCGTAAGAATTGACCCATAGATCCTACTACGATCGGGGTTTCATAATTGAAATAATTCTAGATATGTGCGACAATCGAATATTCGAAAGAATTATTTAATATTCTATTCTGCGAGCAAAGATGATAAATATATTCATATGCCTGATGAAGGGGGACCAAAATTTCTTGTAATTCACGAACCTTCTAAGTAGCTAGTCACGCAGCCAACGGATCCCATAATTGGAATTTTCAAAATATAATCTCATTATTATCAACCCCCCTTTTGAAATAGAACGAGTGGCAGAGATTCCCCCAGATAATTTTGGATTTCGCGTTCGTGTCTCCGTATACGGCGGTGGCGATAGGGCGACAATTCCCGAATGCGGCTATCTATGCAGAAATTAAATGATAAGATAAGGGAATTTTGCAGGCATATCATACGTAATAATTTGGTTTCGAACCAATTGTATTCGAGATAACCGGGGGATATGAGTAGGGGGCACATCGCCTTTTGAAAAGCCTGTGCCAAGAATGCGACAGAAATCAGGGTAGGAAATCGGGCGTCGCTAAATCCATATTGAAAGGGCGAATCTCGATAGATATTCAATGGGGAATCTCAATCATGTTGGGACGTTGTCGGGCCAATTATGGATCGGGAGATACGGATGGAGGAATCATTTCGAGATTCTTCCAAGAATTCTTGAGCTAACGATACGATATGATTTGCAGGATGACCCCCGCGCACAAGTTCCGTCATGTGAATCGTGACAATTGCATTATATATAATTCTGATATTCTCACTTACTTATGAGGTATTTTCCTTGATTGTATTTGGGAACTATACCGAGAGAAATATCTCATTTTTGGGCTCCCTCCTCGAATCGGATAGTTTGCGTCGTTTGGTTGGGGGCACTTCTTTTCTCCGGGGTCTAATTCGGGGTGGTGGTGGGATCGTGGACGTGCCTAGGAGTCCAGAAGTGCCTCGTTTCTCTTTTATATATCTTATTCGATGATTGTTTATATTTCTCTTGATTTCTATTGGGAGTATACATCTCTCTCAATGAAGATTTCGTAATGAATTGGAATTTTTGGAAGCACAAGTCTCTTGCACCGAAATGACCAAACGAATAACATCAGATATAATATAACCAATATCGATTCAGACTCCCAAAGCCTGGAATTCAGAGACGTCTCCTCGAAATTGCTCACCAATCAACAAGTGCTGCCTATACTTGGAGAAATCGGAGTGGAACCCATATTTTGCAACGAGAATAACTTCCACTTAGAAAGTGGCCAAAATATTGGAACGAATAATCGGGATTACGATTTTTAGGCTTCTGGGATTAGGGGATTAGGGATTTAGGGATTTAGGATTTAGGATTTAGGATTTAGGATTTAGGATTTAGGATTCAAGATTCTGAGACTTCAATATTTCAATATTTAGGATTTTTAGGATTGAGAATTTAGATATCGATCCTTTAAGTAATGAATATTCCACATATACGAATGAATTTCGTTTGTATTGCAATGGCTCTTGCATAGATATATCCATCATCGTCGCGAATGCGAATACGAACCCCCCAACAAATGCGAATATTTCCTTCCTGATATCCAATTTTGATTGGGGAAGAGGATCTCTGAATGATTCATATCCAAATTGGTAGGAATCCCTTGAATTTAAGATGGAATTGATTTCATGATCTATAGGAGATTCCTTCGTATGGGATGATCATGATTTCTCATATTAATTTCTGGGTTAATTGAGAGACGCCTCTATATGAGAATTTATGGGCACGTATTATCTTATATATAATTGGATCCTCATCCTTGATATATCTCATTTTTCGGAGTCTTCGTTATCTTCTATTATTTTCCATCTTTCTGGGATATTTCATTAATTGGGGAGGAGTCTTGGAGACCACGAAATTTGATTATTTGGTCTCGATTCCGACTCTTGGGTATTCTTGGACGTAGAAGTCGTCTATATCTTCCTATTACTTTGGAATCTCTGGAAATTTCTAATTATTCATGAGGAATCAATATTTATTTCTAATTGGTATTTTTGCGGGCAGAAGTCGTTCGTATCATTAGATAATATCAGCAATATATCCGCCTGAATAAGCATCGTCGACAAACTCGATTTCGCTTTCATTTATTGAGGCGGATATGTCGCCCGTATGGTATAAGAGTTTCGATCGTAATCTGCATCATAGAGAATATCTTTAAATCGATGTCAGAAATAAATAAAGGACGTGGTGATAATGAATGGATTTCCTCCAAGATTATATTTCATTATCATTGGTAATTCCTGGTGGAAGACCTCCAAAGTATCCTCAATCTCATCCCCAGAGAATTTATCAAAGACGTATTCAAATTCGAAATCAGGGAATGGTCTAATCATTTCAAATCTTGATTATGACCGTATGACCTCACGACAATCCTATTCCTGAATAAATTCTTATTTGGTGACTTTAGAATATAGATGTCGTTTCATATCATCTTGGATCAGCTTATATCGAACTAATTGGGGACGCAAGAGGCTTCCATACCATCTGAGGATGGTTGGATATCTATATTCTAAATTGGTGTTTTTTTCGGAATTTTCATTTCTCGCTTCCGTATCAATCAAAAACAACGAATCCATGAGAAGATGATTTCATTTGTCTCGAGAAAAATTATTTAATTTATGCCTCCCATATATTGAATAGCTCGTAATATCGTAACAATTATCAACGAAACGATTTTATAAAAGAATCCATTCAATTAAATCCTCCAAAAATTATCCCACAAGACTTCAACGTATCAGACAAAATATTGAGCCCATGAGGGGATGACCTTATTTATTTAATTCGAGAATATATTTCAATAATTCCCTTATATATTCGTTACATTTCCCTCCCATAATCATAATGGACAAAATGAATAGATGATATGAGAGATTACTATTAATGGGCCAATAGGATAAATTAGGGTTTTGCCATCCGTGCGAGAATCTTATGTGCCCAGAAATACGAATTAAACATTGTGTAGAAGAAAATGAAATAACAAGATCATTTCATCATCCCGAGATTCCCAGTCGTGCATTGAAAAAATCGCCGCCGCCCCCAATTCACTAGGAATCTCGAGAAAACGAAATCCCAAAGCCAATACGCACACACACGAACCAGACGAAAATTCTTTATAAAGGGAAGACTTATGCATCCCAAAACATTACGAATAGCAGCCTTGACGTCTAAATCGGCAACTCGAGAATGTCTCGAATGAGTTCCCGCCGGGGCGCTACAATCATCCCTTCCCTTTCGTCGTTGTGCAGGGGTCGGCACCACCTGCGTGGGGATTCGAACCTAGCATATCAAATATCATGGGGCTGTTCAAAGAATGAAGCATAAGTCTCACAACATATTCTCCTGAAGGAAACGACCAATAGCCCCTTGGGCCACATCCGTAGACGCCTGTGCAGCACGACATTTATGCAAGATATAAGAGAGTCCCTTCTGAATATCAATCGAAAATCGAATTTTCAGGTCTTGTTTTGTTGTCCCCAAAGGAGAATTCGTAGCTCGACCACACTCTTGGCATATACTCTTCAAGAGTCCACGTGCGCCCATCTCGCAACCACCAGTTGTTTCAAAAATCGGTTCAAAAACCCATATTCTGAGCCTGGAAGGCCGTCTCCGTATTACGATCCCGACGCTTGCGTTCAGCATATGCCGTGGCGGCCCTACCCGAGCCCGATGCGGCCAAGTTGAAAATAGAAGTCGCGTATGGAGATACCAAAGCGATATCTAAGGCCAGACGAGAATACTTCCGCCATGAATTTTGTTGGAGAAGAGGC